GTTACAGACTGTTTAATAGGGATAGAGTATTAAAGAGGGGGGAAGGAGTGGCTTTATATGTAAAATGTGAGTTACATCCTGTTGAAGTTGAGGATATCAAAGATAATAGCAAAGAGATTGAATCCATTTGTGTGTCTATTAGTGGATATAAAGGGAAAAGGCTTTTTAGTGGGAATTTGTTACAGACCACCAAATGATACTGATAAAATTAGTGAGAAACTTGACAACGAGATTAAGATTTCAGCTGTTAATGTAGTTATAATTATGGGTGGTTTTAATTTCAGGCATGTAGATTGGGAAATTCTAGAGTCAAACCATGAGGGAGAAAGGTTTTTGGAAACTGTTCAGGATGGCTTTCTTTACCAATTAGTTAAGGAACCAACTAGAAACAATGATATTTTAGACTTATTGTTAACTTCAAATACAGAAATGATCGAGAGGGTGGAAATTGGGGAACATCTAGGTACAAGTGATTATTGCTCTATTAAGTTTGATATTTTACTGCATATGGAGATAAGGAATAATGATATTTTGGTTACAAGTTTCAAAAAAAAGGCAAATTTTAAAGGGATACAATAAGTATTATCTGTTGTGAATTGGGCAGCTGAGTTATTTGTAGATTGATAAGATGTGGAAAATTTTTAAAGATAAATTTTTAAATATTCAAGGTAAACATATTCCTTATAGAAAGAAAAGGGTAGCTTCAAGTGACAAAAACCAGGTTGGCTCACAAAGAGTTTAATAGATAAAATTAAAGAAAAGCATCATAAATTTAAGAATTTTAAATTGATTGGTATGGATTTAAAAGATTATAGAAGATGAAGAAAGTTGGTGAAACAGGAATTTTGTACATCAAAAAGGATGTATGAGAAAAGGTTGGCTGAAAATGTAAAAAATAACAGTAAGGATTTCTTTAAATACATAAAGGGTAAACAAAATGTTAGGATGTGGTTAGGACCCTTGAGGGATGATAAAGGAAGGTTCTTATCTATTTTTTGTCAGTTTTTGAATAGTGGGCAGGTACCAGAGGATTGGAAGTTAGCTAATGTAACTCCTCTTTTCAAGGGAAATGATAAAAATTGTCCCAGTAATTATCGACCCATTAGTTTTACATCGGTTGTGGGAAAAATTTTGGAATGTCTGTTAAAAAATGCTTTGCAAAGTCTTTTAACAAAGTTTGGAATTTTATTGGATAGTCAACATGGTTTCACTAAGGGAAAATCTTGCTTTAGAAATCTTTTGTAAAAAAAATTCTCTTTATAGATGTGGGGGCTAAGTTAGCAAATTAGATAGAAGAGTGGCCAGATTGAAGAAAGCAGAGAGTTGTTACAAATGGAGTTCAGTCAAAGTGGATTAATGTCACACGTGGGATACCTCAGGGCTCAGTCTTAGGACCTTTGCTTTTTTTGATTTACGTCAATGCCATACATGAATGAATAGTCAATCAATTATTTAAATTTGCAGATGATATTAAGGTCTTGGGTGTTGCTAGCTGTGAAGAGAATGCTGCTGATTGACAAAAGGATTTAGATTATATAGTGAGTTGGTAAAAAAAATGGCAGATGGGTTTTAATTATAATAAATGCGAGATAATACATGCGAGTTATCAAAATTTGAATTATAAGTATAATTTGGATGGGAATAAACTTTATAGTGTTATGAAAGAAAGGGATCTTGGTGTAATAGTCGATCAGTCTCTAAAGCCATCCAAGCAATGTGCTGTTGCTAATGGTAGGGCAAATAGGATTATAGGTTGTATGTACAGAAATATTGAATACAAATCTAAAGAGGTCATAATTTCATTGTACAGGTCACTGTTTAGGCCACATTTGGAATATTGTATTCAGTCTTGGGCTCCTTACCTTAGGAAAGACATTGAATTGTTGGAAATAGTTCAGAGATGGGTTACTAGAATGGTACCTGTGATGGAGGGTTTGTCACATGAGGAGAGGCTGAAATCTCTCAAATTGTTTTCTCTTGAAAAATGAAGAGTTAGTGGGGATCTGATTGAGGTGTCTAAGATTGTAAAGGGAATTGATAATGTTGAAGCATCATCTTTTTTCATATTTAATAGTGAGAATAGTAGGACTAGGGGACAAAAATATATATTTTGGCAAGGTATGAGTCATCTTCAACTAATACAGTTTTATTTTTCTAACAGGGTGGTTGGCCTTTGGATGTTGTAGAGGCAGTAAATTTAAGTGAGTTTAAGAGCAAGCTTGATAAGTATATGAATGATAAGGGCTGGCTTTAAGATTTTTTTGTTTAATTATTTTAATTTAGTTTAGAGGATGGAACAGCCTAGATAGAACAATAGGTCCTATTTGTCCCAAAACATTATGTGGTGTTATGTTAAAGTATATTATAGCAAGGAATCATGGCATTCATAAATTATCATGGATGTTTTCATCTGATGAGAAAATATGTCAGAGACAAAACTCATAAAATTATTTTTGTTTTATTTTAAAATGATAACATTAGGAAAAAAGAAAGGATTGAAACTGAAGCATACAAGAGTCATTATATTTGTGTTTTTTTTTTATAAACAACTGTCTCCTAATAACAGAAATGAAGATCATTAAAGTTAAACTTATGCTGAAGTTTGGGCCTGCATAGAGTAGCACAAACAGTTAGAATATGTTTTACCCTAGTATGAAATGCTGCTGTTTTCACTAATTACAGTTCTGCTGTGTTTTATATTTTTTTGGCGGAATGTAAATGAATAATAGCTTCAAACTTTCCATTTTAGTATCTTATTATAAATTGTAATTAATTTGGTCTTCTCTTTGTTTTTTTCACCATACACATCTGTTTTGTTGGGTTTTTTATCTTTCAGAGAATATTTTGGAGTGAAGATAGGTCTTTATTTTGCCTGGTTAGGTTTCTACACTTGCATGTTGATTCCTGCTTCTATAGTAGGAGTACTATGTTTTCTGTATGGTTGCTTTACATTATTGGGTGACAGTCCAAGGTAGGAAATGTTACTTTCTTAAATAATTGAATAAAAAAAAATGTTTCTAAGTAACTTCCAGTAATTGGAGTTATAACTTTACATCTTAATAATTTACTTGTAAGCGTTTACATATATATATATGTTTATGTATACTAAATTATTCTGTTGAACCTTTTATTTTAACAGCGATGATGTATGTGAAGTTTACAAAGATACTCTGATGTGTCCACAGTGCGACGTAGAGACGTACAATTACTGGAAGCTTGGAGAAGCATGTGTTTATGCCAAAATGACTCATTTTTTTGATAATGGTGCTACTGTTTTTTTTGCTGTTTTTATGTCTTTATGGGGTAAGTGAGTAACACTCTAGAGAAATAGTTTCATGTACAAAATGATAGAAATGGAGTTACTGTTAACTAATAATATGTAGTTTACTAACTGTTTCCTATTTCTTTTTTTGCTTATTGGTTTTAAATATAAATATTGCACAGACTGTCTTTCTTACCATTGTTCCAACTTGCACTTAACTGACTTAAAAATCATGGAGAAAAAAACAATACTAAATTTTTGAAAAATAAATTTCAATAATTTAAAAGATTGGTTAGACAATAAAGGCTTGAATGAGTAAAAAGGAAAATTGACAAAATGTAATTAGGAAAATGAAATGATAAAAAAGATTTCAGAAGAAGCTTGAGACCATCCTTTTATATTTTGAAATTAAGATGGTATACTCCAGTTTATAAAAAAAATATAAATTTCAGTTTGTGAAATTGTTAAATTGAGTTTTAGAATTATTAAAATTGGTATTAAATTTTTGAAGCTTAAGAATTGGAATAAATGTTGTGTATGTTCATATGTGTTATTAAGAGGCTGTAAGACCTTTCCTTCTTTGTCAACCATGCAATGCATCCTGGCATACAGGTTCCAGTTGTTTTGAAATACTAGTAGTTCAAATTTATTAATTTATATTTTCTGTGTATTTTAAACACCTGGCATATGGGCAAATTGGGTAACATTTTATACTAGGGGTAGGATCACCAAAAATTGATCTTGGATTTTGATTGTAGAAATAATGCTAAATGAAAGTACTAATGATAAGGATTTCTCAGCTTTTATATATATATTTTTTCAGAGCAAAATATAATGTATAGATGAAGATCAATGTATCAATGAATGTTAACTATATATCAGGCATGTTGGATAACTAGCACTGCAGTTGTAAACAGCTTTATTTGGAATGTGTTTATGAGATACTATAATGAGCTAAAACATCAGGTAGTCTGTTGTGGTTTGATATAGATTTTTACAAAAATGGGAAACTTCATTTTTTAGTAAAAACATGCAATGGAGTTAATAACACCCTTCACTGGATAAAATTCAGAGGAAGTTTTGATTGTACTTCAGTTATATCTTTCTTTAACTTATTATTGGATATGATTTCTTTGGTTTCTCTGCTATCTTTTACAGTTTGTTTTCCTGTATTAAGCAATAGTTAATCTGCATCATTGGGTAAGATAATAAAGCATATTTACTTTAGCACTGAAATGCTGAATGTAATTATACAACTTTCTTTATCAATAGAATTAAAAGATTCACTTTCACATGATTTTTTGAGTCATTAAATTTCTTGTCAAAGAAGCATCTTATCTGATATTGTATACATTTTTGCAATCTTTCATGACGTATTCACTTTCTTTGTTATCATTATCTCCATCATCACTGTCTTCATTTAAGGCCAAAACTTTATTATCAATGAAATACATATCATTATTTTCATCGTGTAAAAACTTCATCATTGATATTCACAATATTTTAATTATAATTTTACCATGGTCATTTTCTTCTATTTGGTTGTTTTCATCCTATATCTCTGACTCACTTTATCAGAAATTGATAATCCATCACATTCACAACCACAACGAGAACTAAGCATTTTGAACAACTAGGCCTTTTACATTTGTAAGATAAAAGTTCCATTTTTAACTAGAATTGCAGTTTATTCAACAGTTATTGAAGCAGTCATCAGCAATTACAATCCATCGATTTGGAGCAGCTAGTAGTCCACTGAATCTAAAAAAATAGGCTAAATCATCGCTTTTTTTGGCCAATGATATTGCTCAAAAAAAGAAAACTGAAAGAAACTTATTTCCACAATGAGCCAATTATTTCTGATATGGTACATTAGCTCCTGTCACATAAATAGCTATTCTCGATCAGTGCTGTCCTCTATATGCAAAATAATATTTTGCGCATACCACAAGCCTTGAATCTTCCACATCTGGAATTGACTGATTCCGATGTGTCTCACATGCAAATCATCATGTGACAATCCTCTACCAAAAATAGTGCGACATACTATCTTAACGCATGTTACTCTCTCTATTCAATTCTACCAAACTATCACTTCTTGTTTAGCAGTATTCATGTTCTAACATTTAGTTTGTGCTCTCTTCAAGTGTTTTATTCTATATTTTTATGTATCTTTGTATTAATTTCTCTCAACAAGTTTACTCTTTATTATACAATAGTGATATTTGTAACTTGTGGAGCTATTCTGAAGTGAAATTATTTTATATATCTACCTGGTTACAGAACTTATTACTTCATTGCAAAAACTTTTTCTTTGTTTCTGCCACACAATTATGTTTAGTTATTCATTTTACATTATGGATTCTATGTTACCACTTTGGAGATTATATGTTCTATTCTCACATTTACACTGACTTCAGTTTATGATACTCTGTGGGAAGATTTTGGCTTTACTTCATTGAGAAATTTATTGTCCAAGGAACTGATATTTGTCGCGCCTTGTCTCAATTTTGGGGACCCACAAATTTTGACATACAGTCTGCCAACTTGGGAAATATAAAACGTTATATTATTATGGTTATTGGATACTTTTAATATTATTATCTGTAATTATTTGAGTTTTATAATATAAGTTTTGTTAGTTTAGTCGATACATATAGTCCAGTTTAGATTAGAAATTAGGCTTACTTGTATCTTTTATCAAATACCACTGATTCTAGGGGTCTATGTTATTTTAGGAGTACCTGTAATTCATCTGACTGGGATATCAATCATTCATTTAACTATATTGTTTTTCTTCCGTACATCAAGTCTTATACAGAGGTTATTGTTCATACACACTTATTTTAAAAATTACCATTTATTTCATAAATGTTGTTATATTTATTGTTAAGTTAAGATTTTTATTTTTGAGCTTAGTGATATCCTTTGTCCTGCACTGTTCGATTATGCTTAACACGTATCTGATATTTTCAGTTTACTTGTAGTTCTATTTGAGGATTATTGCTTGTTTAGATAAATATGGCAGAATGGATTTTGGATGTGGTTGACTTGCCATGTATGGTCCATCACACCCTAGCCACTCTACACCTAGGGGCACATCCTTTAATCTTACCCACTTTTATGTTTTTCGGGATGGAGTTTCATAACTTTAATATATAATGTATGGTTCGGATCACTATCCTACTGTAGTTCTCTCTAATTTGGATGTGCTCCACCGATTTTCTGCCCATGTATGTAACATCTTTTCACAATGGGTGAAAAGTATATCTGGCTCAGAAGTGGTGTGTTCTCCCATGTATGACCTTCAACTCTGAAGATATCTTTGGGAGTTTCCTTTGGATGCTTCTTTCTTTCCCTCACACTGGTCCTACCACCTGTTCAATGTAGGATTCTAGCTATGTATGCGAGCGGAGGTAATTTACCGTATTGGAAGTTATATTTTTTCCTATACTGAAAATGTATTTCAGATAGGTACTTGCCTCTGTTCACATGTCCCACCATTCCTCCCCACTGAAAACCAGTGCTTCCATTTTCTGCTAAAACTCGAGGTGATAGTTCGGTAGAATTGAATAGAGGGAGTTATGTGCATCAGGAGAGTATGTTGCACTCTTATTGTTGGAGGTTTATCGCATTATGATTTGCATGCGAGATGCATTGGAATCAGTCAATTCCAGATGTGGGGGATTCAAGGCTTGTGGAATGTGCAAAAAAAGGGTTTTCATATAGAGGGCAGCACTGAACAAGAATAGCTATTTATGTGAGTGAAGGTAAGTACCTATTGGAAATACATTTTCAGTATAGGAAAATTTTAGCTTCTGACAAATATGAGCTTACCCAATTTGCAGATGCAGGTAGTGATAAAATGTAAATAAAAATTTCTTAACTTCACCTTTTATGGCTAAAAAGCAGTAATAATTTTAACTAGTACCTTAAAATCAAGTAATTGAGACTAACCAGTGATTAATAATACAAACTTTATAATTTGATGAATTAAATCTGTTATCCACAATTCTTTTACAGAAAGATTATTTGGTTGCTTTATATGTCTTTTTTTTCATCTTTTTTGGGGGGAGGGAATTCTTTGTTCATCAACAAATACAATATGAAAATATTTAATTGTAATGAAATTGGCTACCAATATTTTAAATTGCATATGAGTAGAGAAAAGCAAGCACACATTGAATAGGAAAGAGCCTTGTTATCTGTCCATAATAGGTAGCAAATAGGCTATGAATAAGTATAAGTGATAGTACCTGTCTATCATGTTATTACATCTGTTAACTTATTGTAGTTTCAGTGCCAGCATGTTAACCTTTTAGGTCAGTTGGTAGAGCACTTGCTTGGTGTCTTAGTTTTCAAATGTCAATCAGAGTCGAGAATGTAATATTGAAAATGCCACAATAAAAAGTGGAACTTAACTTGTTTGTGGTAATGGAGGAATGTTATAGTTTGAGTGAATTGTTAAGAACTGCTTTATTATCAAGTGCTAATCTGGTAACCCTTTATTTCAGTTGTTAAAACACTTACCTAGCATTTGAGAGCTCATTGTTTGAATCCAACCTGAGAGAAAAAAATTATAGCCACAAGCTAATTAAAAAGAAGGATTAGTATTTGTTAGCTGTAAAATACCTAATGAAACAGATAGAATTTAGTAGATTATATTGTTCAACTTACAGAATCATATCAGTTATAGTTTTTATTCATAGTAATTACTGTAATATATAAGTAGGTAAATTAATATTATTATAAGTATTACTGTCACAGTTATTTGGTTTGCTCAATGTTCGTGTATATATTTTTTCGGTAGAAATTTACTTGTTACAGAAGTTAAACTGTCACAGTTATTTTTTTTGCTCAATGTTCGTGTATATATTTTTTCGGTAGAAATTTACTTGTTACAGAAGTTAAACTGTCACAGTATTTTTTTTTTTTTTTTGACTTTTTACAAGTGCTAAAGTTTAAGTACCAAACTTCTCATAATCTTGTATTGGATTTGAAACTGAGCTTGTGTGCATTTTTTTCCCACATGTTGTGAAAAGTTAATTACTTTGATTTCATATAAACTTTTAGGTGTCACATTTCTTGAATTATGGAAGAGATATTCTGCAAAAATTGCCCATCGCTGGGACATGACAAGTTTTGATGCAACGGAGGTGATATATGCATTAATTCTTCCTGATTTATTATATTATACTTCCAGGTTAACTCTTATACTTATGTAATTGAAGTATCGAAGCCCATTCATTTGCATTCCTTCAGGGGTTTTTATGCTTATCAAAATATTATTTTAGTTTGTGTGTATATACATATATGTGTGTACAATATATGCACTTTTGAAGATGAATTACATGCTGATGAATCACAGGAATCTGAATTTGATAACTTAACCACTCATAGTATGTAAGGCTGTTTTGTAACTTGTCTCTTTGAAGTTTCTTATAAATCTTTTGTAGTTTTTACTATAATGACTAGAATCTTAACTTAAGAGTCAACAAAACACTCAAACTTTAAACAATTTAAATGTTGTTAAGTGTTGTATAAAAGAAAAATTCCAGTTGAATTGTTGAATGAAACTTTTAAGATGATAGCACAGTTTAGAAGTACTCGGTATTGTTGTTTTCAGTGTGTGTTATGAACTTTAAATAATAGTGACTTTTAGTAGAAAGCACTTGAAAGGCTATTGAGATCTGCTGGTAGGAGCATTTTGGCAGGTTTTGAACTACGTGTCAAAATATTGAGTGGACAGGCTTTTAAGACAGGCTTAATTTCAAAACCACAGTTTCATGTCACATCACATGAATGATATGATAGTTATCTTTGATCACATTCAACATATATATATTGATTGAATCTGAATTCCTTGAGTTGAAGCTACTACTTAAAAATTCAGTTCAGACTTTTTTTAATATAAATGGTGTATGGTTATTTTATTATTTAGTCATGACTGAAAAGGTATATTAACTGTTGGTAGCTTCACATAATATATGGCATAACACTAAATCATTAAGTAAAAGTAAATTTTCAGAGATTATTGCAGTCATTTGTTATTAAACTTAAAATGTTTCAAAGCTACATTTCACTGGTTAATCTAGGAAAAAATTTATATCCACAAACATAACTTAATAAGTATACCTTCTGACACACAAGAAATGGATTAATAGTGTTTGAATCTATTGTTTCAGATAATCTAATGTGTAAAATGTATAAGTATAAATATAAAATGATAAGTTTTTGGTCATCAAATTTTCAATCATCTGTATTGGTTTCTTTGTGTAAAAGGTAATTGTATTGAAAATATCTAAAAAGCTATGACATACCCATTTGGTGCTCATTGATCTTAAGAGATGTGTATACCTAAAGGAGGATTATGTATTAACTCCTTAAACTTGAGGGTACACTGCCAGTGTCTGGCCAAAAATCGTGATTTACCCATAGATGGTGACAGCATCTGATAACATTTATGTCTCTTTGTCTGAAAAGTAATCCAAACCATGTTATTATCCATCTTTTATAAATGGACCAGAAATTTTAAATAATGATAATAATAAGAATAATAAAGTAACTCACTCTTGCCTCTGTTCTGCTAGTTTTAAGAACCATAATGTTTTTACTTGGGTGGCTGATGGGGCGATACCATGTTTATAGCTGGCAGAAGTCTAGGTTTAATATGTCTGTCTTTAGTATGTTCTATAAAAATGGCCTGTAGTTTACTATATATATATATATATATATATATATATATATATATAGAG